TTTTTCCACCTTTCTCCAAGGAGGTATTTTTCTTTCCTCCCGGACCAGTTGGGGGGAGGGGCCGATTGGATCTGCTTTTCCCACCAGAGCTCCTTTGGGGGGATTCTTCCCCAAATTTGCTCTAAACCTGGACAGTTGGCATCTTCTGAGAGCAGAGCTTTTTTAGGTACTGAACTTAGTCATGGTAAAAAGATGATAATTTCTCTTAAAAAAAATAAAAAAGGTAACCTATCTGCAAGTACAAATGGTATGTTATGGTATATAATTTACCATATGGTGTATATACCATTTAATATTCCATGTGGTATATTAGATGGCCCTTGAAAGGTTCCAACCCAACTCATTCTATGATCCTAAATATATAAATACAGGTAATTCCTTTCCATGCCTTCCATCCCCTGTGTTTTAAAAGCTAAGCTTCCACACCACAAGGAAGCTGGATTCTTGATAAATTTTTCATTTTCTCTATTGACTTGCTGTTGCAAACCCATGTCCTTTTGCTGTGTAAAGGGCATTCATTTGCCCTGTATCCACATGGGCCCTCTTTCCCCTTTAACAAGCACCAAAGAGAAACACTTTATTGCTTTTGCTGCACTGGAATGCTGGGATTTGCTCTTTGCTTTTACCTCTAGCAGAGCTGTGGCTGCAGTGGGTCTGTTCTCCAGGGATGGTCACCAGGGCATTCAGCTCAGTGTGTGCCACTGGAGCCATGGTGTGCTGCTGCCTCAGGAGCCCTGCTGGGATGGAGAGTACCCCAAGGTGGGGATTTTGCCAGGCTCAGCCTGGTTTGGAGTGTGCTTTGCAGCTTCCTGGGGGAGAAGGACATTGCCCTGCTGTGCTCCGGAGCTGAGTCATTCCCCCTGGGGTGTGCAGGAAATAATTCTGTAATTATAAAACAATCTTGACTAATGGGATATTAATGAGGACAGGGAAAGGTGATGCTCCTGGGATGGGCTTCCCCACTGCTAGGAGAAGGAGGAGGGAATTGTACACAGCTGCTGCATTTGGGGGGGCAAAAATGGCATCACATCAGCAGGGTTTGGATGTGAGAACCCTAAGGAAGGACTTTCCCTAACTCTGGGTCTGTTTCTTCTGCAAAATTCACTATTGTTAAAATTCACACAGCTCCTGCTGCAGGTGTTGCCTCTGAGCTGTCCACTCTCTGACCTGCTCTTTTGCTCCAGTTTGAGTCCTTTTGGCTCCCTGTTCCAGCCACATCTGCTAGGCTGTACTGTTGCTATCTCCCCTCATTTTTCCAACCCATCACCTCTACCTTCCCCTACTTTCTGCCCTACCAAACCCTCTGCTCTTCTTTGTTCCTCAGCATCTTCCCTCACCTTTATCCACCTTCTCCATCTCCCACAAATACCTGATGCATTTTCAGGAGTGTCAGCCTGGGGGCACGGGGAGGATGGTGCCCACAGGGGGTTGTGCTCTCCCATCTGATAACACATGTACCAGGCACCTTTCCCTTCAGCTGGCAGCCTCTGGAAGCCCAAGATGAACCTTTCAACAAGATTAAGGAGATGGTATTAATTGCTATCGATCATGGGTCAACAAATTAAATTGCATCTGCAACTGCATCTCTGAAAGGTCTAAATGAGAAGAGTAGTTAATGGCTCTGGCTGGCCCAGAGCTGTGATTAATTAAAGAAAGAAATTAACTACAACATTGGGGAGAAAAAAAAAAAAAAAAAAAAGGAAGGAGATTGGGATGAGAATGACATTCTGTGGTGTAGCTGGAGAGTGCCTGATGGGAATTCAGTTCTGGTCCCACCCTGGCAATGGTTTTTGGGGCTACAGGCACCCCAGTGCTGTGGGGGCACTGCCCACCTGTGGCTGGCAACTCTTCCACATAAACAGTGGAAGTTTCCTAGAAAACGATCAGTGCTTTTCCCTTCTCCTTGTGGGATCCCTCAGTGGGACTGTCTGACACCGCTGGGTTTGGGGGAATCACTTTCCCTTCTGCAGCCTGAGCCACAGAGCCCTTGCAGACACTTCCATGATGGATCTGCAGGGCTTTCCCTCCTGTGACCCAGAGCATGCTCCTGCCCCTGTGTGGGGTCCTTGGGCCAAGGGGTCCCCCTCCATCTGCCTCTTCCCTTTTTTTCCACAGAGAGAAGGACAAAATCCTGAGCATTGCCATGTTCCTTAGCAATCCCTCTGCTCTTCCCATGCCAACCCAGCACTGCAGCATCCCCCTGGCAGCTGGGACCAAAGTACTCCTGGGTGGGAACAAGGGTGCTACTGTGACTCCTTGGGAAATAATGAAGTAGCACAGCATGGAATGGAGATGGTGCTTAATTAATAATGAAGAAAATAATAATATGTGGCACGTATAGTGCTGTACTTGTTCCAAGCACTGTACAAACATTAACTACAGTAATTAAGCTGTAATTAATTAGAGTAACTACTAATCAGTGTAAATAATGATGCATCTGGAGGTACCAAAAGGAGTTTGTGAACTGAAAGCAAATTTCCATGTTCAGGAAATGGTATCAAATATAAAATGGTACCAGCAAAAGTAATAAAAAAGCAGATGGAGGTTGAAGTGAGAGCCTGGGAGCTGTGTTGGTCCATGGCAGCTCCACAAATGGGAATCTTGGTTTGGCAAAGCAAAACTGGTTTAGTGAGTTACTGCTGAGACACTCCCTGAGCAACCCATCCCATCCATGGCATTCTCATGGCTACTCCCAGGCTCCCCACCTGCTCCTCCCACCCCAGCTGCGCTCACCAACACTGGGAAGAGGCAGGAACTGGAGCAAGGGGTGAGATGGGGAATTGGGAGCTTGAGGAGCTGATGAGCAGCTGAGTAAAATACACCACAAATATGTAATTTTGGGGTTGTTTTGCTGGTTCACACACTTTATATTTAACAAAATAATTTTTTAATAATATAGTCTTTTACACATCAAATATTGTTTTTAGGACCCCTCCCTCCCATTTGTACAGATTTTTTTTTTTCTCACTAGTTTCAGGCACACTATTGTTTGTAAGTTTTGAAACTGGATAGTCATTGACAGGCAACAGCTTACAGAGAGATGTGGTGATGATGTCTGGAATGGTACCAGCTGGGCCTGCAGGGAGCCAGTGCTCAGCCACAGGACAGCACTGCTGTGCTGAGAGCTCCTCCCACCCCTGCCCTCCAGGAAAACACCAACATGGGGAGAAATGGAAGTATAAAGGCATTAATTAGTGGGTATGAAGTGAGCCTGATGTGCTGATCTGCTTCAGTGAGGATGCTGTGGGGAGGATTTGCTGCCGTCACTGAGAGCAGCTGGATTGGAGCCTGAACTGTGAACAGAAGGAGCACCACCCCCATGGATGGCACTGACCAAAAAGCAGGGAACCAAGCGTGGACAGAGATGGGAAAGGCCCCTGTGCTCGCCTGGCCAGGCAGGCAGGGAGGTGACATTGGTGGCCTTTCTTTCACAGTATTGCCAGGGAGCTGCAGCCTGAGAAAGGAGGAGGTACCAGTGCTGGAATCCCTTGGCTGCTGGGGAGCTGTGCTCCTGGCAGGCAGGCACAGAAAGCAGCTGCTTTCGAGGGACAGCCCTCACAGGAGGCCAGGCCTGCCCTGCTGCTCCATGGCTGGCTCTGTCCCCAGCTGTGGGGGTGCTCCCTCCCTCTGCAGCAAAGGGTCTCACCTGCCAGTGAGCCAGTTTAGTGCTGCCACAGCCATGGGACATGCTTGGGCACCTCCAGAGTGGGGTGATCCCATATTTTAATTGTCACCTGCTCTCACTGAAGGCAGTGAAACTCTGAGTGCTCCAGTGAGAGCAGCCTGGGGATGGGACAAGGCAGGTGAGCACATGCTCAGCTCAGGAACCAGGGACAGACTGGGCCCTCTTCCCTCTGCTCCACCACTGATGCCCAAGCCAAGAATCACACATACAAGCCATGTAAGATTTTGCTTTCATGGAGCACTTGGATGGCTGCCCCAGCCTGCCCATGCAGCTGCTGTGGGCCCTGCTCCCATCAAGGTCGCATTGACTGTGTAGGTGTCTTCAACTTTATTGTCCCCACTCAGTGGAGAAAGTGTTACACAGATACAGCTTTGTGTCATGGCTGTCCAGTCTATACCTGTGCATCTACCTCAGTCCTGCTGCAGGTTACATTCCAGTTGGGATTTTTTTAATCCCCCCATCCTTTGTAATTTCTACCTCCCTGCTGTCCTTAGTGCTACCTGCACTTACAGACACAATCCAAATGCTCCACCTCTTGCTCCACTTGCAGCTGTATTGTCCCGATGATCCCAGCTTAGGAAGAGACTTAAAAAAAACCCACAATAGCAAAAAAACCTTCAAATAAATAACTGTGAAAAACCCCAGGATCCACACTGCAGGAAGTGAGAGCAGTGACTCCATCGGTGCCTTGCCAGGCCAGGACCATGTGTGGGCTGTTTTCCTGCTGTCCTCCCCTGCCAGCTCCAGTGACTCCCAGAGCAGAGCAGACACCTGGGAACAGAGTGTGTACAGAGGGACAGGAGCTGCAGGGGACACGGGGACACCCTGCCCCACAGGGACCCAGCTCTGCTCACGTGGCACCCACAATGGGCTTGCAGCTGGCAGGAGGTCGGACACGTGGGTAGCATCGAGGCCATTCCTTCATCATCACCATCATCACCATCACCGTGAGCAGGTTGCTGGCCAGGGGCTGCTACAGAGCCTGCTTGCCCTGGCACTCGCGCTTGGAGCACTGTGCTGGCTTCCACCAGTCCCCGTTGTGGCAGTGGCAGATGTTGCAGTCGTCCACCTTCACCTCAATGCCCGCGGGAATGATGGTGGTGCCCGCAAAGCAGTTGGGACCTGTGGAAACAAACGGTGGGAACAGGATAAATGCTCTGTGTTTGCATGGGGCAGTGCTGTGCCCTGAGCCTGGGACAGGCAGGGACCCAGGGCCAGCCCCTTGCTGTGCTCTGGCCATGAGATATCAGCACTGCTGATGTCTGCAGCAATGCTCCCACCTTGCTCAGTGCCCAGCCCCGGACCCACAGCAATTCCTTCTCATATTTTGGTTGCACTCAGGCACTAAAGGGGAAAATAAAGGCCTCAAAACTTTCCTTTCTGTGTCCTGAACAAATGGCATTGGCAGTCAGCTTTTTCTACTTGGCTGACCACTAATTTAGTACCTCTTTCTCAAATTTTGGCTGCAGGATGGACAAGACCATGAGGGCACAGCCCAGCCTTCCCTGCTCCAGTCTGGAAAGGCTGCAGGGACCAGAGCCAGTCCATCCCCTGGGGCCATTGGCAGCCATGCACCAACACCAGGTAACCCCAAGGACCTCCACCAGCTTGGAGCTATTAACCAAAAATTATTTCTTACATCACCTCTCCAATTAGCTTTCTGATAAAATCTTGGTTATTCTCCTCAAGGGTAATTCCTTTAATCTGCTTATTATTGCTTTGGGTGTTTTTTAATTTATTTTTTATTCTTTATAACACAGTATCAAAGCTGAGCAGCAAGTCAGCAAGGATCTTATTTCCCAGTCACAGAATGGCTGGGTAGGAAGGAATCTTAAAGCCCTTTCCTCCTCCTCATAAAAGCCCCACAAATATCCACTGCCCATTGTCCCCCTGCAAGATCTCTCCTCTTCAGTGCTTAGTGCCAGGAATTAATGTCGGAGCCACACAGAAAATTCAAGGCAGTCACACTGGTGGCATGGAGGAAGCATAAAGACATTTGAAAAGTGTTTCGTGGCTCGAGTGCTGCTCTGAAATGTCACCCCTTGACTGGCCACCAGTTTTAATCTCTGCCTCCAGTGCATGAGGTGCATTCCAAAGGTGAGAGCGTGTACAGACATGGAGTTATGGGCAAGTTGTTCCTTTAGGCTTAGGCTTAAGGCTGGGCAAGGGAAATGGGGTCCCTTACAAGGCTGGAAACAGGCTGAGCTGTAGCCAGCCCAGTGCCAGGGTGCCAGAGGGCTGTTCATGAGTGCCCTGGGTCAGTGAGGTGCTCCTCAGGGCCCTTTGTTGAACAGGCCATGAGTCTGGCAGGGCTGGGCTTAGCCAGACAGTTCAGGGTGCCTGAGTGTTCCTTGTGTTTCAGCAGCCTCCTGCCTTCATTAAAGGCCCCTTCAAACATGGCCTGCTCTGCACTCCCATGGCAAAACCCCCTCCTTTTCATTGTAATATAAACAAAAAAGCTCCTGGAGATTCAGGTGGCAAGGAAAGGGGAAGATCATCTTCCCTCTTGCTGCCCTGCCTGCTAAGCAACTCATTTGAGAGGCCAGTGCTGCCTCCACACCCACACATGTCTCCAGACACAGCTTTGTCTGGATTTACAGCACTGCCAGCCCATTCTGGGAGGCTGGCACTGAGGGAGCCAGCAGGGTTGGCTCACTCAGGTGAGTCAGCTTTGCCTCCCAGACAGGCTTTGGGGGCCCAACACCTCCCTCATGGGACTTTGGCACCTCAGTGGTGCAGGGACCATGGTCAGCCAAGGGTGATGGGGTTGGGACTGGCTGATGGGTGCTGCCAACTGGGAAAAGGTTATTTTTCCTTCATCCTGCTTATCTGTCCATTCCTTGGCTGCCCTTTCTCCTCCCAGCAGCCCCTGGTCACTTCTCCCTCCTGAGCTTCCCCAGCAGGTCATATGGAAATAAAATAATAAATACCATTCATTAATGCCCTAGAGCAGGGAGGAGCAGAAAGCAGACACTGAAGCAAAGATGAGATGGATGAGGGGGATGTGCTAAAACATCACCTGCACATCTGAGGTTCCCACTGGAGAGGGGATCCCTTATTCTGGGGACATGGGGCAACTCTGCAAATCTGTAATTGAACACTAATGATCTGCCCCTCTGTAATTAAACACCAATGATCTGCCCCTCTGATCCCTGTTGAGCCTGGAAGGACCTGCCAAACATCTCTGTGTCTAACAGAAAGAAGATCTTTGGGATACTGCCCCCATCCCAAAGGGGGAGAATGACAGCTGTGGTGGGTAAATCCCAGGCACTGCCCCACTGCAGCAGCACTGAGCACCCCTGGGCTGCCCAGGGAGCTGCAGCCAGAGGCTGAACTCAGGGGGAAATCACAGCAATTGGGTTTGTTTTCTTTCTTCTTGGCTTTTAGCAAAATGGAGGAAAACATGACCCAGGGCTCTGCTGACATGTGTCCTCCTGTGGGATGTTCTGCCTCTCTCCAGACAGACTTCAGTACTTTTAATTTGGGCCAGCACTGCCACTGCTCTGGGCCTTTTCTTTCCCAGCACTCCCAAAATAGCCCCTTCTGCATTGCCTGAGTGAAATGGTTTCTTTTGCTCACCCAGTGAGCTGGACAGAGCTTTATTGCATCCCTCTGCCACTGCTATCCCCCATCCCTACAGAAACATGAATTTCTAACAAACAGAAGGCAAAAGTTCCACACTGCGTGTGTGATAATTCAACTTCAATTCCCACTGCCTGAAATCCAGTTTTCCAGCACAATCACTACCAGCCAGCCTCTCCCCTTCTGCTTGCTTTTTCTCCCCCATTTAACTTCTCCCACATTCCCATGGAAAACTGGGTCCTGTTTGTCCAAACTGGGATGCAGTGAGCATTGCACCTGAAGTGAAGGTGTGAGGAAGAGGCACTCAGAGAGTGCTGGAATTCAGGTGCACATGTGCCATGGCACAGAAAATGCTGCTTGGCAGGAGCATAAGTCACCAGGGAGCTTTCCAGAAACGTGGGGATTTATGGAGCTGGCAGCTACTGGTGGAGATAACCTCCAGCACCTGGGGATGTGCATGGCTGGGCCATGTGCCCTGGAGGGGCTGCAGCCCTTAAAGCCACAGCAGGAAATCAAGCCCTGTTTGGGTTTTTTCCCTGTGCATTAGAGCTCAACAGACTCTTCTAAATTCTCTAATATTAATTTTCCCTCCCAACATTTCAAAGCTCAGGGCCCCAACCCAGCATTGCTGAGGACTGGCCCTTTCCCACCGTGGCTGCCTGGAGGAGCTGGATGAGAGCAGGGTCTGCCAAACCCCAAGGAATGACACAGAACAGCACCATGGGTTTTTTAATTATCATTCAAAGGAGGACACTGCTCAGAAATATTTGATGACATGTCAAGAACATCAGGTTACTTAGGATGATAGCAGCAGGAACAAGAAGCTGCCCGGGGCAAGGGCTCTTGTCCTGCTCTCGGCAAAAGCATCTTAAACCACGACTGTGATGATAACAGGACACTAATCACCCTTTTCCTTGCTCAGGGAGACTGATGGGAGAGGTTTGCTGCTCCCACAGACAGTGTAATAGTGAGATTTGCTTTGCTTAACATAGTTAATACTCATAAAAGCCAGCAGCACTCCAGGCTGTTTGCTAGAACAGCTGTGAAGATTTTTATGGAGATGTATTAGGGACATTCAGATGCTGGTTTGATGGGAGAGATGTAAAAAAAATCATATTTGGTTTGTGGTTTGGGGAAAATGATGGAAAATTCTGCAGCCATCTGCTGAAGACCAGTACTTGGGTGCTGACCCTGCTCCACTGCAGCCCTGTTCCAGAGGGAATTCAGGGGCCAGGCTCTCTCCAGCACCACGAGCTGATGCCTTGGAGCCACTCTGTGAGATCAGCAGGGTCCCCCCAGCTCCCTGGGACTCCTCAGATGGGTTTTACTGAACTCAGCAGCTCTGATTTAGCTCTGTGTGTGCAGAGAAGCAATAAAAGGAAATCAAATGTTAATCAAACAGCAAGCACGGATCACTTCAGGCCAACTGTGATATTCAGATGTGCCCTGAATAGCATCTTGCCCCAGACACAGCTCACAGTCTCCACCAGAGCATCTCATTGTGCAGCCTCTGATTCCAGCAAGAGCAGAGGCTTCCCCTCAGTAAAACATGTCTCCTGCCACTTTGAGAGCCTCCCCATGCCTTTAGGAAATATTAAAGCTGACTCCAGGAGAATTTAGCTCATTCAGTCAATGGATTCCATCAAGGAGGGAGAGAGGTGCTGATGGCTACGCTTATCTGCCCAGTTAAGGCAGTGCTAAACAGCAGCTCAATTGAGCAGCCATCCCTCAGGCTCCCAGGTGGTGTGCCCCACTATTGAAGCTACAAGGGATAAGTGCAAAGCTGTGCTGTTTCCTGACAGTGTTCAGGAATGGAGACATCCTGGAACATCCCCCTGGATGCTCACTCAGCTGAATGAGGCTCAGTGGGTTTGCTTTTGGAGCTCCACCATGAACACAACTGGGCATGGGGCTTTGCTGCTGGCAGTGTGTTCTGCCTGGGGAGGTGTTTCTGCTGAGCATGGCCAAGTCTCTTCCCAGTGGGAAGGCAGATTTTCCTCTGCATGTTTCCATAAAAACAGGCGTCTCCCAGGCTTCACCATGACCATCCCACACCACAAACCATCCAGATTCCAGCACTGGTGTCTGGGACTGAATCAGGGACCAAATGAGGATGACACTTGGAATCCACACAAGGATGCTTGTGGATCTCTAACAGAAAAAGAGGAAAAACACAACAGAATCCCCAGGCTCTGTCACAGAGGCAAGAAATTGCCTGTGCCTGCATCCTGGGATTTTTTCCACGTCTGGGCTGAACTCTGCACTCAGAAAGGAGGGAAAACCATCGTCTTGTTTTTAATGATGGCTGCCATTTCTGGAGGATAACACCTCTCCTCTCTGCTGATCCTGCAGGATCTTTTCAAATGTTCATGTAGCTCTGGCAATGCTATTTATGTGATCACTTCAGATTGCAAGAGCTCAATTTGTGGCTTTAATTAAGGAGCTGGGGAGGGAAGAAGTCCTGTTTCCACTCTGCTATGCAGAGTGCCAGCCCCGTCTCGCTGGGGAAAGGAGGCAGCAGGAGAAGCAGGAGGTGAGAC